TAACTAATTTGTTACATCAAAATACCAAATAACAGATACTACAGGTCATACATACATCATTTCTTGATCTGAAACTAGAAGGAATTGATAGGTTGGAAATATACTTTGCACCACTTCTTGCAACTCGGTCCAATTACTCATTTTGCGAGATGGTTTCTCGAAGCAATCTTGGTATTGGTTTTCCATTTATCAGTGACCCAATAATTTACAACGCTATCCTAATGCTTTGTCCTTATCCAACGTAGATTGTGTCCTTTCCAATTGGTAGATGTATCGGACTAGCTTTTACGCTTAGCTTGATCACGAGGATCATTAATCATGTTTTTATATCTATCTATCATATGTCGTCTTCTTCCACGTTTTGTACACTTTGACAGTATTTGGCGTGATCAAGCAAATTTATCCTTACAAATTAATAATATAAAAATTCACTTATAGTCTTAAAGTATCTATATTAACAACTATAATAAATAACAATTACCAAAATATGTTCCTAGAAATCATCTCTTGTGAATTGTGACAACGAGCGAATCATGGGAGCAGGAGCTATAACAAACGCTTTCATGGTGACACCGATATCACATGGCTCAAAGGTTTCAATGAAACTGTATAAATAACATAAAATTCGATAATCTTAAATTTCCAAGATTCACAGCCCCATAGCTCAAAAAAATAAAAATAATAAAAAATAATAAAAAAAATAATAATAATAATAATAAACACAAGCTAGAAGCATCTTTGCTAAGTCTAAATTTCACGACAAATGCCAAGAAAGAGAAAGAACATTAAACCCTTACGAAAACTAGTGATTCTACAGTTTATAATAATTGAATATAGTTCACATAAGTATATGATGCGAGATTTTTAAATAATAAAGTTTGATAATAACAATTATATTATTGGATTGTCACTCGTATTTTTTTTTTAATAAAAAAATGGATATAGTAAATAATTAACAATGTGATTAATGTTTCGCCTTCCACATTTTACTTCTTTAATTTTGAATTCACTTATTTTTAAGTAATTCCTTTGTTCTACTTATTTTTCTATTGAGACAAGGGACATACTTGTATAATCAAATTATAACTTATTGTTGAAACAGTAAACTTGTAATCATTAATAATGATTTAAAATCATGGGAAAAAGATTTACACAAAAATTTCAAAGTAATTATATTGGAATATAAAGGGTTCATATATTTTTTTACCATTACTTCAATCACGGCACGATTGGAGCACTAAATCTCCCTTCCGGCTTAAGCATCCACTTTTGGTCTCTAAAGTGGACCAGCCTTGAATTACTTATGTTGGAATTCGTCCAGTCCATACTTTTTTAAGCCTACTCAATTATGAAGTGAAAATTATAGCTATTTTCAATATATATATATGAAAAAAGAAAATATTATTTGGGCCCTACTGTCAGCCGAAAAAAATTAAAAAATACAGATGGGTCAAATTCCATTTATGTGTTAATCGTAGGAATGGTACAGATTTATTCTTGACAGAATATTTACAGGAAACTCACAAACACGTGAACTCCACCTGAATAAATAACGTCCAAAAATTAACCCTCTCAACCCCCCATGTGAGGTGTCGGTAGTATGAACCCCTACCTGTATACCAAGCAAGATGATCATTGAACTTTGACCTCAACGACAATTAGGTCATTGAACTTGAGTTGATGGTAATTAAGCCATCGAACTTCAATTTTACACCAATTGAGTCTCTAAATTAGTGCAACAATAAAGAATATAACAAAACTTATTAATGTGGCCTTGCACATGAACTTAATCGTCACATCATCACAAACTTAAAAGCTCCAATACTAGTTGCTATACTCTATAGCCCCTTTTGTATGTGACAGAATAATCTTTCTTTAGGTTGACGATGATATTGCGATTAAGTCCATATGGAAGGCTATATCGGCAAATGTTTGAACTAACATCCATCTTAGAAAGTTTCATTAAATTTTTTTACTATCACACTAACTAATAGAGTGACAAATTGCTTTTAAATTAAAGCCTAGTAATTCATTTGCCGCTTATTGAAATTCAGTAACCTAATTGTAGTTGAGATCAAAATTTGGTGACTTATGGTACAATTAATCCCTATTTTACACATCGACATGAAATTGAGTCTCTCTACCTAGACAGATTAGATCAAATATGTTTTAGAATAAAGCCCTGTGTACAGGGCAAATATTCACAGGGGTCGGCCCCAGGCGGGCTCCGATGCAATAAAAAATGAGGAAAAAAAAAACCCTTGACCCCACTCCCCATGTGAGACCCTTGTAGGGGTCAGTAAGAGCTAGCCTGTATGCCCAGCTCGGTCCTATGTTTCCTATGTTTTATGTCTCGATACTATATATAGTAGCCTTAACTTTTGAGCTGGAACAAACAAACAAACGCAAGGAAATCTAGTGAATTTTGTCAAAAGGTGAACATTTAGCATTATTCGGTGGACAATAAAATACTTTATATTTGTTGTCGAGGGCTTTTATGTGTTAATTCTTGGCACTTTTTGAATAATCATATGATATTTACATTTGCTTGTCCATTTCCACGATTGCCGAGTTAAGACAAATGGTGCTGATTGTCTATAACTATGATTATATTTTCTGTTGGTTAGTGATTAAAGCGTAGTATGACCTCTATACGTTTTTATGTGTGTGTAGTTTATTCAAATAGACATTAAATTATGTTTGATTTTGCTAAAAATAAGATTTTAGTAAACTTTCATAAAACTGATTAAACGTGTAGATGAAAAGTGGAAAAAAGTTACAAGTTTCATAAAATATGTAATTAAAATTAATTGTAAACTTTGACTTAGATTTTTATTAATTTTTTTAAATTAAATAAATAAGGACTAAATATAGAGCCTAAATTGATGTCTATGTAGAAAGCAATACTTTAAGAGTGCATTTGATTGTTATTATTTTTCATGAAAAATATCATTTTTCCACTCAAATTTCTTTCTTTGTACTGTTTGATTAATATTTTTTCCATGTAAAATATTGTCCAATTTTTGGTCACGTGACCATATTTTCTTTGACCAGGGGATAAAAAGTAAGGTAAATAAGTTTGATATTTTATGTTATCTCATTATATTTACTATCATCATGTATCGTGTGTATCATTTTGTAGCTTGTGATTCTAGTGTAAATGTGTAACTACTAGTCCCATTGGAGTTCTTCAACAAGTATATAACCATTGTCTGATTAATTAGTGTCTTTGCCATGGCCAAAGAATTAATAACCTCCACTTCTCTTCTTTCACTCGACTATGTTTTGCTCTAACCCGATAGCACCTTGTGTAGTATATATGTTCTCTTCTCGAATAGTTTAAACTTTTAAATTAGATTGTAACCGAGCACAAGAGATGAAAAAAGATTCAAATCTCAACATTTGTCATGTTTTTTTTTCAAGAAATATTTGACCTTGATGGGGACATGTTGAAGATTATGTCCTCTGTCAACTAGTTCAAATTTTTAGATGAAATGATAAATATGAGGTGATTTTATTATATTAAGAAACTTTCGATTCAAATGAAGTAATCTTAAGGCCTATCTCAGATCACTTTGTGACTTTACTTTTGCTTTTTGTAGATAAGGTTTTTTAAGAAATTACCTCTTGTCAATTTCTTATAAAAGTACTTCTAATCGAATAAATCACTTCTAAAAAAATTTCTCAAATACATCCAGAAACACCTTCTAAATTCCCTGAAATATATTACCTTAATGGGGGACATGTTGAAGATAATGTTTAGTTTAAATGTTTAGATGAGATGGTGAATACGAGGCAATTCTATTATATTAAGAAATTTTCGATTCAAATGAAATAATCTTAAGGCTTGTCACGGATAGCTTGTGACTTTACTTTTACTTTTTGTAAATAAGTCTTCTTTTTTTTTTTAAATTACACTGCATCAATATCTTCTAAAAATACTTCTAGAATAAATCACTTCTAAAAAATTTCTCAAGTACGTCCAGAAACACCTTCGAAGTACCATGCGAAAAATGCCTTAAACGTCAAAATATCTCAGTGGAACAATTCAACTCCACCTCAACTTATGTTTGTACTATCAAGAAAATTTCCTAAATGAGTCAACAATTGCATCCCAGCGTGGAAATCAATCGATGTTCCATAGACTCAAAGCAAAAATGATTACATTTTAATTTTTAAACACAATCAATAGTTGACAACAACAATGAGAATACAATTAATAACAATGATGAATTGAGAATAGTGGTATTGCATTTATTATTATGCACCCAAAGATTAAAATTCAGATTATACTCTAAAGGTAATAGTTAATTTTAATTATGTTAATTGTGGAATCCAAAACTTTTCAACTATACATTTTATCAAATATAATTTTAATCCCCACCAAATATAGACGATATTTGCTTGCAGCGGCATGAACATATTGATAGCAGAAGGGAGCTTAGCAGATAAGAAGCCGACTCAAAATTCGAATTCAAATTAACAAAAAAGTTTATACACAAATATAGCATATATTTGTCTCTCTTTTTAAAGAGTTTTTAGGGGAAAATGATTTTTGAAACAGTGATTTTTCGAAAAATGTGTGATTAAAGATTAGGAAAAAATTTTGAATTTACTTGTAAACTATTTTATTACGTGAACGTTTGGTTGAAAATGAGTTTGAGGGAAAAAAAATTTTGCTAAGAAGGGATACAAATGTAAACAAATATATTAAAAATAAAAAGTCATAAAAATAATTTCTCAAATTTCAGTGGAGATCACTGATCCCACCTTCCTCCACCGGTGCAGGCCTTCAATTATGAATCTTTTACGCATAAAAAGAGAACGATGCATTGATTCAAGCATTGTTAATTAATAAGAAATAGAATAGAGCCTTCGGCGGGAAAAAAGAAGCACAAACAGAAACACTGCACCTAAAGTTAAAGCAACCACTCTACGTTACCCCACATCCTATTCATATACATATATATATATATATACAAACACAAATATATGTTGTTGCGGTATGTAACGTGGGGACACGCAAGTGAAAAAGTGAAATAGACAGAGAAAATCTCTCTTCTTGAACTTGAGACCCTTTATTCAGCAAGATTATTTCTTGGATTCATCTGGATCTATCTTCTTCTTCTTATTATTATTATCAGGTATTTCCATTATGATCTGTAATGTAATTTCGTACATTTTTGCACACCCGTTTGAGCTATGAAACTTCTGGATATTCTTTCTTGAAAATTACTCTAACTTTTATTCTTGATGGAAACTAAATATGTAGCTTGTTTTGGTACAGATGTGTGTAGAATTTACAACGGAATTGTATAGTTTAATTTTATAAATTTGTGGTGTGTTTAAAATAATATGATTCATAGATGAAGCGAAAATTTTGAGTCCAGAGAGGGCTGCATAGAGTGAAAGGAAACAAATGATGTTTGCTTTGATAAAAGGAAAATGAGATACATTCTGTAAAAGTAATGGATATATTGGTGTGTTTGGTAGATAAACACAAGAAGCTTCCAAAAAGAGCCGTCTACTTCTATGTTCATTCAGCCATCACGTGCATACCTCGTGTGTTTCTGTTGAGTGTTTCCAGAAGAAATAGTTTCTTCAATCAGAAAAATGCTCCTAAGCTCACATTTATCCATGATGCACCCAAAGATCTGAAGAAATAAACATATTGAGAATTAATGGCCAGTGAAAACTGAAAGTCCCATTTTAATTTTGAGTCATAACTTATAATTTGCAGTTAGCCTGACAATTAATTAGGGGGAATCACAAATTCTCATTGGACAAGAGCCAGCAGGGATTAATAACTTCTGGGCTTATTTCTAAACATTCAACATTGTGTTTGCATAGGTGAAGAGGAATTAGAAACTTGAATACCAATTGCTGTGTGCTCTATAAAATATCCAGAAATATCCAAATTCAGAAGGAGCAATGGAGAGCACAACCAGCAGCACCAAGACTATGTATTCCATGATCATAAATGGTTCCTGGTTTGATCAATTTCGCAATGGCTCAAATCCTTGGATGGCTAGATATGCCTACAGCTTGATGTTTCTCATTACAAATTTGCTTGCTTGGGCTGTTCGTGATTATGGGCATAGTGCCTTAACAGAAATGAAGCGTAAGACTTCTTCGTAACTAGAAAATTCATATATATTTCTCTTTTACTGCTCAAGAGAAATCATGATTCATTATTAAGGATCACAGTTAGACAGTATTTATTTTTCATTTAAATTTTTCACTATATGATGAGAAGAGACTATATGATTGAGCTACAGAACATACGGTGTTCTTAACATGTGTGTGCAGGTCTAAAAGAATGTGAAGGGGGGAAAGACTGCTTGGGTGCAGAAGGAGTTCTCAGAGTTAGCTTGGGATGCTTCGTATCCTTATAATGTCGTCCAGAGTTTTTCACATAACATTATAAGAACTGATGAGATCCTCTTAATTTATATTTGCCTAGTTAAACTTCTGTTGAAGCAATTAAACTAACATCAAAATCCAGTAGAGAAATCCTGTCAGGGAATAAAGACAGGAATGGTGTGTCCTTAATCTATTTCCTCAAACGGAAATAGTGGGGCAGGAAAGTTTTGCTTTCTATTAATCCTAGTCTGAATTTTAAACAGGATGCCAAATGAAGATATAAACAACTACACTTTCTATAAAAAACTACACTTTCTTTCTTTCTTTTTTCTTTTCTCAATAACAAGGTTCAACAAGCATTCAAATGACACGAAATTTCAAATTTTATGAGGTAAATTGAAGCCTTGACATTTTATATAGACATTCTATTTTGCAATGTTTCTCTCTACAGCTGGCACTTCAAAGCTAGATGATCGTAGAGAATGTTGGCACTCTGGATGGTGGTCTGCCAAGATTGTGATGAAGGTTGTGCTGATCATATTATCCTTTCTTGTTCCTACGGAATTCATTTCACTATATGGTTCGTTTACTTCCTCAGACAACTTAATATTACTTTTGTCGGAGCAAATTTGAATTGTAAATCATGAACCTAATGTATTATAGTATGGCAGGGCAGGTTGCGCATTTTGGTGCCGGGTATGACTAATTCTTCTGATATCTATTCATCCATAATCTTAAATTGAGTTCTTTTGCTCTCTCTATTTTGTTACTTAAGACTATTACTGTACTGTGAGTTTCTTCAAAATTGAAAAGTTAGCTTCTTCTTCAGTTATCTGAATTTATCTCATCCTCTAAATTTATTATATTTTTATAATCCTTGGGCAGGGTGTTTTTAGTTATTCAACTAATAAGCATCATCAGTTTCATTACATGGTTGAATGATTGTTGCCAGTCCGAGAAATATGCCGACAGATGGTTCGTGCCTTGCTCAAAGAATTCATTAACAAATCTCTTCTGCTCATCGGTGTCAATAGAGTACAATGAAAGATTCTGTTTGACACATTAAATTATCATTAATCTGTGTTTTGTGGCTTTGAAGACAGTCCCACATATAATAGGAATTGAGCTTCTGATTTCCTCTATATAATATGATTAGTTTGAATCCCACATTTAAGTGGAAACTAGAAGTCAAGCTCCCTTGGTATGTGAATTCATCCCAGGCTTTAAGTTAGTCATTGACTATCTTGTGGTGAGGCTTTGGGATCCTTCGGAGCCTCACTAGTTGGATTATGGTTTGAGTACTTTATACTTTTTTGGATAAATCCCTTATTATGTGTTTTATGGGAAGCTCGGGATTTAGTATGTGGTACTCTTTTGTTATTGCCTATGGTTAGTGGAGTTCATTTTTCTACATATAGACGTAGACCTTGCCAAACCATGTGAATGCCTAGTGTTCGTTGTCTATTGCTTCCTCAATCTTGGGACTCCACACAACAATCAATTACCCTAGTGATTATGCAAGGATGTCGAGTTCAGGTCATTCTTCTATCAGTTTGTCTCCTGCTATTCGTAAATAATGGTGAGATTTTTGTGCAGCCGTATTCATGTGATGCTACTTGCAACAGCAGCTTATGTTGTATGCATTCTTGGGATAATTCTGATGTACATATGGTACACGCCACAGCCATCTTGCCTTCTCAACATTTTTTTCATCACTTGGACTCTTGTACTTCTCCAACTTATGACTAGTGTCTCTCTTCACCCAAATGTAAGTTCATTTTGTACTTTCTGTGTCAGTTCATTTTTGTACAATATATCTTAATCTAAAATTTTCACAGGTAAATGCTGGCTTCGTGACTCCAGGATTTATGGGGCTTTATCTGGTGTTCCTCTGCTGGTCTGCCATCAGAAGGTATGCTATTCAATTTGTGACCTTTTAACGATTTCAATTATAGTGGCTTCTCAGTCTCAAACTCCCTGGATTGCGCTCTAGAATCAAGAGTATTAGTAAATTAGGATGAGGATGGTGTGTAAAGCAAGAAATTAAGGATAACGCCTGCATCTAGAATACGAAGTACGGATTATTCACATTTCTTTTCGGATTAATGAGGATAAGAATAAGGCTTTTTACTCAAAATGAACAATGTTAAAAAAAAGGGGGTTGGATTTTATGTTCCTCATTTCCCTAGTTTCTCAAGTTTTATTTTCTTGTTCATGACTAAGCTGCTCATACTTGATTTTGAATTTGCAGTGAACCACCCGAAGAGAAATGCATTCAAAGAGCAGGAACTGCAGCAAAAAGAGATTGGCTAACCATCATAGTAATTCTTGGACATTAAAAAGATACCATTATTAAAAATATTTGCCCTTGCTCCATAACTAAGGCAATTTTATTTGATCTTGTTAGAGTTTTGTTGTTGCTGTTCTTGCAATGGTGATCGCAACATTCTCAACCGGCATCGATTCTCAATGCTTTCAGGTTTTTACCTTTGCTACACTCATTTTGCTCTCAGTTCGAGTACATTGTTTTCAAAATTTTCATTCGACTACAAATTGTGCAGTTCATGAAGAAGGAGAGACAAGAGGAAGATGATGTTCCCTATGGTTATGGATTCTTTCATTTCGTTTTTGCCACAGGAGCCATGTACTTTGCAATGCTCTTAATTGGTTGGAATACTCATCACACTATGAAAAAGTAGGTATTTTTGCAAAGCCATTCTTATTTCACCTTTAGTACCAACAGTCTCTCCAAAAAGAGTACTTTTCAAGTTTATGCAGTACATGTCCCAACTACTTATTGATTACATATGTTGACTCCACGCAGGTGGACAATTGACGTCGGTTGGACCAGTACTTGGGTGAAGATAGTGAATGAGTGGCTAGGAGCCTGCATTTACAGTAAGTAGTTCCAACTTTTTTCAAATCTCAGCTTGTTTACATTATGGACAGATTTATAAGGCCTTGTTTGGTCCTCACCTCACTCCCTACAATTGTTTTGTTAACTAAGGCTTTTGGTAATGCAGTATGGATGCTAGTGGCTCCAATCATTTTGAAAAGCAGACAAGCAGAATTGCCAGCACCTTAACTGTTAAGCTCAAGGAAATCTGATTTTCTAGCATTTGCTCCATAAAAATTCAGTGGCTAGCCCTTCTCTGGCAAGGAAAACATACTATTGGATTTGGGACTCGAGATCGAACACGACTAGCCAGCATTCTTTGTAGTGCTTATAATTTGGAGCAAAAAGGAAGAAAAGAAGAACAGACAGTCTTGATACATGTAAATAATATAGTCAAGGTGCCATATTGCTAGGCATCCTTTTAAGGATAGAAGCTTTTACTTTCTTAAATATATTTAAATCGAATGACGATTGATTTTGATAATTATCTTACTCAGAGGGTTGATAGACCATTAGACAATGAAAATATAGTAGAATAGAGATGGAAACGTAGTAAGGATATGAAGAGGAGATTGGTGTAAATCTTAAAAAATTAAACTTGGACGTATTACCTCGATTACAAAAGTTCAACAAAACAATGGATAAACACCAAGTAAATTTAAGACTCGTAAACATTAACACTAGAGTCAAAAATAATAAATTTACATCTTACCAACGCGTAGTAACACAAGTACAAGGACAAAGAAATCTTTTAAAATCCAGACGGAGTTTTCTTTCTTCCCTTTTCTTCTTGGCATTTTCTTGCCCATAAACGAAACCTTCAAATATGCTTGTCAAGGAAGGGGAAAAAAAATAAAAAAAAATAATAATAATAAAAATCAACCTCGTAAACATTGAGAAAATTCGAACTTGTCCAATAGAATACAAGGGGTGTCCACCATAAATGTATAACCTTGATATGAGTGGAACGAAAGAATAAGAGACAAGTAGAAATTGTGTACGAGTGGTTGGGCAGAGTACAATATGAGCAATGAATAAAAAATAAAGAAACATGCTATGTACATCAATTTTCACAGCATGGTCTACATCACACACACATGCAATAGGTGGGGTTTGCAATTAAAATAATCGCGGACATCGCCTTTGTGAGGAGACTGTGAAAAACTTGTAAAAGAAATGCTGTACAATCAGCTTTTTTACAAATACAAAATAAAGGAGGTATCATTATGGTAAAGTACAACCGTAGTACCTCTCGAGATAACTTTTCTTGAGCTAAAGTTAAATAACGAAATTGTCAAATCACAAAATGAATCAAAACTGTTGGTTTGGATCCACGTAGGTCTGTTGAAGTGTTATTTTTGAATCAAACCAAATTGCTCCAAAGTGGTTTGGTTTATACTTCAATTGTTGCAAATCATTTAAAAAAATGAAAATAAATAATTTTAATTTTATCTAACTAGTAAAGACATCCCAATTAAAAGGACACCCGTAGACCCAACCCAATTAAGTGTAATACCCAACCTAAATAAACTTAATAATCAATTAGGCAATTATCCATTTCAATTAACTATTTAAAGGGAACAATACAAAATTAAGGTGGTTAGAAAATACAATTTCAAAATTAACAAATATGTTTTATAATTTCAAAAATCAGGTCATAATTAAATTTAATTAATCCCTTGCTACACTTTCACTCCAAGCTACGCCAAGTGAGCAAGATGCATTGCAATTTCCTCTTTTGTGGATGCACTGGAGTATGACCCGAGACAGGAAATAAAAATGGACAATTCTACACGTATTGAATTTTTTTTACCGGATTTTTTACCTACTATTCACAATAAGGACAGGGACCACGGATAGTCATTTTTAACTTCGTATGGAACTGTCATCCATTGTGAGAGAAGGGCGCCGGGGGGGGGGAGGACACCATTTGGTGAACCCCCCTATATACACATATATTTATCCAATAAAAACAGATCATTAAAAATATTTTATTAATTAAATATATTGAGATTACAATCCTATACAATTTATCGTCATCATTACTTACTAGAAAATGTCATGGTCACAAATCACAAATTTCACGTTACGATTTATTTATCAATCACAAATTATTAAATTAAGGTCACGCATTGTTTCTCAATCACAAATCACTATTTTTATAGTTAACAAATTATTTATCAATCACAAATCATCAAATTACTAAGTCACATATTATTATTTCTCGATCACAAATCATAAATTTTATATGTCACAACTTATTTTACGGTTACAAATCACGAGTTTTATTGGTCAAAATTAATTTATCGATCACAAATATCAAATTAATAGGTCTCGCGTTATTTCTCAATCACAAATTTAGTAGATCACAACTCCACTTTATGATCACAAATTATCAAATTAATTGATTACAACTAAACAAAACGATGACAATTTTGCACGTTTCGCATCTTACGGAAATAGTTCCCACCCAAAAAACAGCAAACCTTACACACCTTTATTTAAACAAAATCTGGGAATGACATCCAATTCCACGCAATAACACTATAAATAGCCTTGGGCTTACTCTACAAGATGGATTGTCTCATACGAAAGCTTTCACCACAATGACACCAAGATCAGCAAAACAAATTACACAAACTTCATGACAGCATCCGGCATAAACTACATAATAAACTAAACATGCTATAGATGTAGACTTCACAAACTATTTTGGTACTGCAAGTTCCAATCAATCATTAGCCAATCCCAAGATCTGTAACTGCAGCCGCCTCTCGCCTCACCACTTCACCACCAATGAAACGCGAATCTTACCAAATAACAATGTTTCCACCCAATGTCTGAAAGGAAGCATCAAGATGAAGCTCGTGCTAAAGACATTTCATTTCCATTCTAGCCAAATGGGTTTCCCCTAGCTGAAGAAAAGTTATTAGGAGACGCAGGTGCTGGATGTAATCCGGTCAAGTGGAGATTTGGGTTCGTTGATACAAAAGCAGGCGCCTCAAGACCGAAGCCTGCTAATCCTTGTGGTCTGCAGAGGGTCAAATGAGTGGGAAAATTAACAATTATCATAACAGATCAAAGATAAATAACTTGTAATGGTGTTTATAAAAGAAAAGTACACAACAGCAGATTACTTATTATTCGGGAAAATGAAATGCTGAGGGTGACTAACTCAATGGAAATTTTGAACACCAATACACTTAAATCATCACGGAATGATGGATTGTAAAGTAGCACTTGATGAAATTAGTATAAAGAGAGCTATAGAAAGAAAAGATGTGACAAATACTAGGTTACCTCATTGTCATGTTGCCGGGAACTTGTTGCCCCTGATATGAACCTGAATTAATACAAGGCACATGCTAAGACGTAAAGATAACGATTAAGCTACTAGGACAAAAAAATTAAAAAAAAAAAAGATAATGCTATACTTGGAGAGATTGCTGATGCATAAGATGGTGACTGAGTAGGAAGAGATGATACATGTTGAAAAGTACCCAGGTTTGATGAAGGTGCGATGTTGGGTAATGCAGCTTGTAAGGATACCATTGAAGGAAACTACAATACAAGTAAATAGTTTATTTTAAGCACATAGATAAAACCATCCTGCAGTCATTATGCTAGCTCTGCAGATGCATCAATGTTGCATTATCTTTAGACAAGATACAATCTTCATGTGCATTTAGTAATGAGCAAGAAGTTTGAGCATCGATAATAGGAAGCTATTCACTTAATTAGTATAAAAAAGGCAATGCCAATGCCCATAATGCTATGTGACTGCCATCCTTCAACATTGTTGATTCTAATCGTGCCTTGGATAACCTCAAATTTTGAATGGTATGAACTATGAAAAATGGCTCATAAAATCATTAGTTTGCTTTACAAAATGAATATGGAGAGATTTTGAGTGGATAATGCATGTTCAGCATTATTTGTGAATAATATTTAAGTCGTAAGCATATAATCAAGAATAATGCTATTTGTACATAAATAGTTACATAATGGTTTGTATGTGTCAGATTATGAATCAATCATGCTATCCTGCTTCATTACTTGCCATGAGAAATATTATTTAGAGACAAAAAAATAAAAAATAAATCCTTGTGCATTTCAAGTGACAACCAAGACCGGTACATCATCAAATCTCTAATTTTAAGAAACCTTAAAAGGGTGATTTACGTAAAACTTGAGCGATCCATTGAAAGATGCATACAAAACCAAGTTAATAATCACTTATGCAAAATGGTAAATCAATCTAATGAGAAAGGCAACATACCATTGCAGCTTGAACAGAAATATCATTTCTGACATCAAAAGGATTTGATGGTCTGGATACCTGCTGGAAAGTAGCTGTAGACTGCAAACAGAAATACTCACTTTTTATATAATGATGATGCACAACACGGTTAAAAAGCCAAAAATGAAAAAGAAGAAAAAAAATCATGTGGAATTTATAAAAAAGAAAAAGAGACAAAACTTGGAACATGATGATTAGCCAGATACCATTGGCATGTATTGCATTGGAAACCCGGTGCCTTGAAAGGGACGAGAATGCCATCCCGGAACTGGAGGTGTAAAAGAAGAATAATTTGCTGTAAATAAATCGGCAGGCAGTTCTGTTCTTCCACTAGCTTTTACTTCTGAATATGATTGTGTTGCAACTCCAATAGAGGTTTGCATGGCCGGCATTGTAACAGTTTGAGACGTTTGTAGTTCAACACCAGGAGGCCGATGTGCATTTGATCCAACTAGGGAATTCCATGGCTTCAGTTGTTTAAGAGAAGAGATTAAGTACTCAAAGTAAGAAAATCATACATTAAGCAGAAGAAAAGCCACAGAATAGGGGATACCTGATTGCTTGAAGGTCCACCAACGGTGACTGGTTGAGAATTAGGCAAGCCAGCAATTCCAGGGAACACCGGAGGTTGTTGAGGTTGTATGGCAGGCCACGTCCCTCCAGTGAAAGCATTATCAAATGAGTTACCTTTACCAGTTGGTAATATCGGTGCTGTACCAGGGGATGCAGATGGAGCACCTGCAGGGGAGACCATGGCCGAGTTGCTGATTGCTGCAGCAGGATATGCAGTACCTCCATAGGCCGACCCAAAAGATGATGTTTGTGAACTACCAGATGGGAAAGCTGGTACGTTGCCTGAAAGAGAATTGAACATATCATTACCATGACTTCCAGCAGAGGGACCAGGAGCGGATGCAGGAATAGACAACTCTGAAAGAACATCTAGCACGGAATTGGAGTTCGAAGCTGCTTGAGCTACTTTCACATCTGGCACTGAATCAAAATTTGCCCAGTTGTCGCCACTAGATGTTGGCTGCATGGCAGATGTAGCTGTCACCACTTGCTGTGTTTGTGGCACTGCTGCAGTAACTGGAGGTTCAGGAGCAGGAGCAGAATCAAAATCAATCAACGATGTTACCATTTTGACTTCAGCTGGATTCACATTTGAGGATGCCAAGCTACTAGAGGATGCAATTCCCTGCAAAATAAATATTATGCAAATTAATTCTTGGATAGGAAGAAGCAGAAAAGGCAAAGATAAAAATAAAATAAACTCAAAGCATTTAAAACATTGCAATATATCCAAGATCTTTAGGCTAAGTGGCAAAGCATTTGGCCATAAAATATAAAGTGAAAGTGAATGAAGTATGGAAATCATGCACACACATATAAAACATTAAGCAATCAATAAACAAGAATTACTCAGCAATTAATTAAGAGAGACTCTGCTTCTTTCATCATGTATATGAACCCAAGAGCCAGTTCACATCTTTGCTTAGAAAATATTACATTGCATAATAGAAACCAACCATAATTGGTTTTTAAGGGCACATGGTATACCATATATTCGCCCATATTAATTCAGGCTAAGGAGAGTGATGCAACTTGGAAAGTCTATTTGAGGCGTAAAAGAAATTAACATCGATTATGATATAATTTTCCATTATCGCATTTGATTCATTTTTGGTTAAATTGATTTTTGTAAAAGGAAAAGCCCAGTTTCCTTAGTAGTCGTAATTTCCTTTATTAATCATGTTTTTATATAAAGAGGTACATTGATTGTAATAGGAGACACTTGAATACTGAATAAAAGATGCAACCTTTCCCTCGTTTTCTCTCTTCCTACTCTATTTTTCTTCTCTATTATTATTGTTCATTCCATTCGACATCAATTTGGTGTCAGAACTCGATTCACGGTAGACCCTATTGACCATTCTCATGATGATCTTGACCAATTTGAATGTTATGAGGAGGATCCGGCCGTTGTATCTGTTATGAGATGTATCATTTCCACCTCTATTCATTCTGACTCGTGGAAACGAACTTCTATTTTCCATATATTCATCTCATGCAATTCTCGTTCATGCAAGTTAGTTATTGACGATGGTAGCACCATAAATGTCGTATCCAAGTCCACCGTGGCAAAGTGGGCTTCAAAATCGAATCACACACTAGACCGTTTAAGGTGGCGTGGGTTAATCGGACCTTTTTACCCATCACTCACCGCTGTCTCGTGCCCCTAAAGTTAGGTCCCCTTTTTTCGGAGGACATTTACTGTGATTTCTTACCTATGAACGTTACTCACATCTTTTTGGGTTGCCTTTGACTTTATGATCATGACGTTTAGCCTTTCGAGCATGACAACATGTATAAATTTCTCCACAACGGCAAAACTATTCGTCTCTTACCGGCCAAACCCTCTAAAGAAAGCAATACCCATATCCACACCCAACGGTATTGCAAACGCACATATTCAATTGTTGTCTCTTAAAGATTTTGAGCGTGAAGGTCAAGACACCGGACTTATGTTTGCCTTGGTTGCTAAAGCTTGTTCACAGCCCTCCTTTGATTCTCACATCGACTTCCCCCCGAGGTATCTCCTTTACTCGATGAGTTTAATGGTATTGTGCCTATCAACCTCCCTGATGAGCTTCCTCCTATGGGGGATATTCAACACGCTGTCAATCTTTTTCTTGGGTCCCAGTTACCAAATTGCCCCCATTACAGAATGAATCCTACTAAGCGAGCAAAACTCAATAGGCAAATTAAAGCTTTACTTGATTAGGGTTTTATTCACCCTAGCCTAGCCTTAGTGTAGTCCCGTACTACTCACCCCTAAGAAGGATGACTCGTAACACATGTGTGTTAATAGTCGCACCATCAACAAAATCATCGTTAAGTACAAATTCCCTATTCCACAACTTATGGATACATCAGATAAGTTAGCTTGTTCTTTGTGGTTCACCAAAATTGATCTACGGAGTGGTTATCATCAAATAAAGATTCGACTAGGAGATGAATAAAAAACAACATTTAAGACCCATGATGGTTTTTACGAATGATTGGTTGCGCCCTTTGGGTTGTCTAATGCATCTAGCACTTTCATGTGTGTCATCACCCATGTCTTGCGACCTTTATCAGGAAGTTTCTTGTAGTCTATTTTGATGATATTTTGATTTATAGTCGGTCGCAAGAGGCTCATTTAGATCACCTTCGATAGGTCTTCCTCAATCTTTGTTCTACACAGTTATAAATTAACCTAAAAAAGTGTTCATTCCTCCAATCTCAGGTCATCTTCATAGTGTTCATTTAATGAGCACTACCGTGGTAGGATTTGAGAGCTTGAAAGGCGATAATCCTAGTTGTCCTGACCTTGGCATCATCTTTCAAGACCTCTTAAATAACCCTTCTCGCGACCATGTTTCCTTCTTGCTTAAAGATGGTTATCTTTTCAAGGATACCAAGTTATGTATCCCTCATACCTCACTTTGTGACTTTCTGGTCTGGGAACTACATACAAAGGGTCTAGCTGATCATTTTCGTCGAGATAAAACAATCGCCTTAACTGAGGATCTTTTATTGGCAGTCCCTTAAAAAAGACATTGCCCGCATTGTCACTCAATGTCGTACATGTCAATTGGGTAAGGTACAACGTCAAAAGACTAGAATGTATACTACTCTTCCTGTCTCGCATACTCCATGACATGACCTTAGCATGGACTTCATTCTTAGGTTACCAAAAACAGCTAGAGATCATGACTCCATTTTCGTGGTGGTCGATAGGTTCTCTAAAATGGCTTACTTCATTCCATGTTCCAAGTCTTCTATGTGTCCCATATCGCTAAGTTGTTCTTCAAAGAAATTGTCCATCTTCATGGGCTTTTGGTCACTGTCATGTCTAATCATAATGTCAGATTTGTTAGTTACTTATGGAACACACTGTGGAAACTTGTTAGGACGACGCTTAAGTTCTCCACTGCATTTCACCCCAAACCGATGGTCAAACTGAAGTTGTGAACCGTAATCTAAGTAATCTATTTCATTGTTTAGTTGAGGATAAATCAGGAAATTGGGATCTTGAGTTGCCCATTGCTAAGTTTGCTTACAATAATTCTGTTAATAGGTCTACCAATCATAATCCCTTCAACGTTGTTCAGGGTTTTCCTCCACGCCTACCACTTGATCTACTTCCTTTGTCTACTGATTTTTGTCCTACTGCCTCCGCTCAAGCTTTTGCTAAACATATTCGTGACTTGTATGTTGAGATTAAACGGAAAATTTATTTAAGCAATGAGCATTATAAATTATTAGCTGATTCCTATCATAGGCATAAAGAGTTTAATGAGGGCGATTATGCCAAGATACGACTTGCACTTGAACAATTCCCTAAACATGCTGCCAAGAATCTTTGTGCTAGATCAATGGGTCCTTTCCCCATTATTAAACGACTTAGAACTAATGCTTATCTACTGGAGCTACCAATGCACTTAAATATTAGTCCTATTTTCAATATAGCAGATTTATATCCCTATCGTGGAACATTCGAGCCTTCGGCATTGTCGTCTAACATTTCTACAGGACAGTCTTCTCGACCGACTCCTCGAGATCCTGTTACCACATTCTCTCTATGGGATGTTATTGATGAGGTACTTGATGATCAGTTTGTTGCTTCATAGAATCGTAGTTTTCTTAGGTTTCTCATGCGTTAGAAGGATCGTCTGCGTAGCGATGCTACATGGATTACTGAAGATGAATTCCATTAGTTGGATGCTAAGTTCTTTGATGCCTATTTGAATTATACCTCGTTGGAGTCAAATTCTTTTCAATCGGAGGGGAATGATGCAACTTGGAAAGTCTATTCGAGGAGTAAAAGAAATTAACATCAATTATAATTTAATTTTTTCATGATCACATTTGAATTTTCCATTATCTCATCGGATTCAATTTTTAGTTAAATTGATTTTTGTTAAAGGAAAGGCCCAATTTTCCTTAGTAGTCGTAATTTCCTTTATTAGTCGTGTTTTTAGCCTATATAAAGAGGTCCATTGATTGTAATATGAGACACTTGAATATTGAATAAAAGCAGCAATCTTTCCCTTATTTTCTCTCATCCTACTCTATTCTTCTTCTCTACTATTATTTTTGTTGCATTCGGCATCAGTGAGCTACTAAGATAAGAAGTTTAGGATAAAGAAACGTGTAAAACAGAAATCTTGCAGGAGGAAGAATGTTACCCGAGTATGTACTGAATCATCAGCTGACCTGCCACCAGCAGTATGAGGTTCAGCTACCCGAAGGGGTGATACGTTCTCTCCCAAAAGCTCTCTAATAGGAAGGACAACAGGAGGGCTGGGTGTCTCCAGATCTCTCTGATGATCAGGTGACCTACTGTCAAGCCTAGAGCCTCCATCGGAACTTCTGTCTTCAGATTTTCTTCCATTTCCAAATCTATCCTCTCGTCGCCAGTCATTAACAACGTCAACTCGAGCAGGACTCTTTTTGTAATCACCATGCTGCCGACTGTCTCGGTCATATCCTGGACTTCTTCCACCAGTACTAGGCCTATCATTGTAACGCCGCTCATAAGTATCCTCATAAAGTGGACTTCTAGATCCACCCTGATATGTATCTATCCTCCGGTTTTCATTATAGTCCTCGGTTTCACCCTGAAGAATACATATGTATATCAAGAAGCAAAGACATGATCACATACTTTTGTAGAGCCATCATGAAGAATGTAAGTTTATGGAAAGGGGTAGCATGTATACCACCTTTGCCCTTGGGGGCTTTTCAAAACTCCCCTCACCAGTATATCTTCTATCCACATAGACATGTTTTATAAAACCCCGCAGTCTATCAATGTTACTGTCAGCCAAAATATAAATCAGACAAGCATTACTTTGAAAATTAAAGAAGACGATGCTGAGATAATAGAACAACATTTTGTATGAGCACGCTAATAACATCTGAAAATTAACCTGCCATCGGGTAGAGAATTGAGCTGAGGATCCCATTCCTTTAAATAAATTTCTCTAGCACTCTATATAAAGAAAAATGTGTTTTGAGATGAGATTTTGCATCGACAAAACTGGAAGAAGAAGACAACAAGCAGATCCCCAGTGGGGGAAAAGAGAGTTGCAAGTGTACCGCATTTCCCCCTCCTTGAAGGGCACTAACTTCTTGGGGCGTAAATTTAGCCATAGATACAGACTTCACTCTATGTGTGAACTCTCGGCTGCAAGTATTTATATATGAATAAAGGCGTTGGCAAAACTTCAAAACTTGTAAAACCCTCTGGAGGGTGGATATTCGACATAAAACATGAAAGCTAAGAGAGTAAAATTCCTTTTAACTTACTGTACCCCACTGCAGGTTGTGCAAATAAATGTAGAAAAATTAGTGCATACATATTGAGGACCCTGCCAGGCGGAAAGAGAAACATCAGTTCAATCCGTCCAAAATATGAAAGAATAAGAGAACGTTTGGGTTTATTTCATGCTTATAAGCATGAAAGTGAAAATGTAAAAAGCCTTTCTTCAAATTCCATTTTACTACCATCCATTTCCTCTAATTTCTGTCTATAGTCTTCTGGATATAAATATTTTCTAATTATATTAAATGTACATCCTGTATCTATAAAAACTATTAAATTTAGTTCAATCATTATATTAGCAGATAACTAACAAACTTTAAAATGTATCAACAAATATTATGCTCATCTTGGTTGAAAATAATGTTTCCAGGATGAATACAAAAATATGTATTTAACTTCCTGGCTAATGGTTATAATCTGACAATTACAGCAGCAAATCATCCTGTGATCTCATTGCTGGAATCAAAAGTTGTAACGGTCACCAGAAACATATGGAAAAAACTGCCTTTAGTGCACCAATGAAGTTTGATATCACGTCATCCTATCTTTTGTTTCAGATTTAATAAAGTTTGACTGAAGTATGTAATCCTGAGATATCGGATAAAAACTGGATAAGAAAACTTTCAAGTTACAAAAATTTTATCTAGGTAGTGCCTCCTTACTAATTAATAAAACCACAACCCGTAGTGATGTCTAATATCAAATCTGTAGTGTCTAAGGCAAGCACATAATTATAAATCGATAGACAAAATTCTGAATAAAGAACATGTAAGGGGATTGTAAAATCAATCAGCCCCTTATCCAGCAATATCCCATGGTGACGTGGTCCAAACATGGCTTAATGGAATTGAGTAATACAGTTCTTATGACTGAACAGGCTCCTACTCGATTGAGTTGCCTTGAATGGAATAGCAGAAAACACAAACAATCCCAACTTTTAACTGGATTCACCAAAGTAACAAGGACGATAACAGCTGAACATGCATGACAGGTTCCAATAATCAAACGAGGAAAAATAAATGGATCAAGTCACCTTAGTCCTACCAAACATGAAATTTGATATCTGATAACAAGAAGAAAAAAATTGCCCGGGCACCTAAGCCCGAAGCCTCAATATCAGAATATTGTCTAGCACTATAAGCTCAAGATTGAGAACAAAACCCCAGAGCACTTGACATCAATCCTTTATCTGGCTCCTTGGACAGCTGGCGGAAAAAAAGAATGAGCAGTCTCCAAAAACTAATTCCTATACTCCCTCCAACAAATATGGCTATATTTCATGCTTATAAATAGGACACATGCATGAAAGATAAGTCTTAAGCTTTTTTAATACACAATGAAATATATTATATATTTTCTCTCTTCCATAATGATGATACTAACTTGGTGTTGGTGGCGCTACAGGGGAGAGTTCCCACCCCTTTTTTCAGGTTATTATAATAGCACAGAGCTCATTCCAATGATACCATATATTTCGATATCATTAAACAATGTATTTGTCGAAATTCAAACTTTAGAACATGACTTTCGTAAAACCAAAATATTTTCTTTTCATTTTGTGGATATATGAATTTTCAGAAGTTCTAAGTTGATGTGACTTATTTAGTATGCATAATGTCTGATAGGTGAACTGCTTCATGGACATCAACCAAATATAAGCTACTGTAATATAAGGTAGTTGTTATTAATAAAAATATAAAGTGCAATAACTGTCATCTCTAGGGAGCCTAGTGCACGCCAGGCAACAGTTTTCTTTACATGGGACATTAGTTTCTTTTTACATAAAACTTATTTTTGAATATACTAAGAAGAGAAATATTTATATCCAGCAAAAACAATTAACTGCAGGTGCCAAGGCAAGAAACATGCAGCCTTACGTTTAACAAATGCTCAACTCCACAAAGGAAAATGGAACAAATTCGAAATGCATATTTTAGCCCCTGTTTAATACCAATTAAGATATAGATTTTTTTCTAAGTCAAAGTCAATAATTAATTTCAACCATATATTTTATGGGTCCCACAACTTTTTAATCACACATTTCATCAATTTCCATCAAAATTTACTGAAAATCTTATTTTAATCACTGCCAAACAAAGGCTTAATTAACAACCTAGAAATGGGCAGTGTCATCTATCATTTAAATGCTCAAGGAAAGCGAAAAAACTGACTGACAACTGCAAGAAAATTTCCACTGAACTAGAAACCACTATAAGCAAAGGTTAATCAGGTATTCCAATTTCAATGGGAACTTGTAATTTCCAAATTTTTAACAAGTAGTTTTTAAAAATAGAAATCTAAAAATTAATTTCCTTTGACAGGTGAAGTATGCTGTTAAATCACGCAACATCTTCTTTTATTTAAATGTACATCTTGTTTCATAACAACAGAAGAAGCTATACAGCATTCAGCAGAATAAATAATGCATGCCACATTTCCAATTTAAGGATGTTATTCCTGAACACCTTTCATTCAGTAGATCATTAGTGCCCCCATATTTTCCAATTTCCAACACTTGATAATTTTCTAAACCTTATGAACAAAGAATCCCACTAAAGAAGTATCTAAAAATTTTATTTTAACATTCCCGAGTGGCCTAGCCGAAGACACTGTATTGTGCAGAGACTTACATTTTTACTCATAGTGAATTACTTAATCTTCTAGCACTAACTATAGGGGTTTGATCATTGTTTTCCAAGAAGTGCATGTAGTTCAATCATATAAAAGCCATCTCATTGCATTTGAATATCAAAATAATTATGTCAAGGGGATAATTAACAGCAGAACTTCATGATACCAGTTGAAAGAAATAAACTTAAAACCAAAATTTCCATTTTCCCTTCTTCATCTATGAAACAAATTCCATGAATCAAGATAATCATATTTTTTTATCACAAAATATTTCTCTCAAGGGAACGCAAAGATCTCCAATCAAGTCCATTAGCCTAATCAGACGAAATTAAACAAAACGAACTGACAAAAAAAAAAAGGGAAAGAAAGACGCATACCAAACTGTTGCAGTTGATACACCTGCGATTCTCCTGAAGCTTAAGCAGATTCCTTATAATTTTTTCATTCTTTTCATCTTCCTTGACTCGACTCCCCATTTCAATACAATTACACAAGCCCCTCTTTCTTCAAATAGTTCACCAAACCTATCAACAAAACAAACATTATAAAGAAATTTTAACAAACACAAAGAATTTCTAAAAAAATATTATGGAAAATTCAAACTTTAAGAACATCAGATCTGGTAAAACAACAGTCGTCAAAGTCTGACCAGCGGACACAACACAATTAAAACTATAAATAAGAAATTCAAGTGCCAACAATTTTATTAACTGACATTCGACATTTTATTATATTCTGTAACAGATAAACTGAATCTATATAAGTTATATGACCTGATCGGCGATGGTGAAGACAGCAATTTCACGGATCAATGAAAGAGAAAAAAAGGCAGCGCCTGTAATATAGGAATTTTGTATTAGTAAGAGAAAAATATTAACGGAGATGAAAAGGCCGAGGAGTTATCGGGTGTACCGAGGACGCATGGTGTAGTTCTGGATTTGGAAAGTTCTTCAAGATAAGTCAGTCGTACATGGCGACTTGACTGGTTTGACCTTAATATTCAACATTAATTCACTGTTGATGTAACTAGGGAGAGATTTTAGGAATTAATTGATAATTATATATATTCTGTTTTATCTTTGCAAGTCATTAAAATATCTGTTATTTTTTCCCCCTATTTTAAAGCATTTTTGGGAATTAAAAAGTAGGTTTTACAAGTTATTAAAATATCTGTTACTTTTTTTTCTTTTCTTTTTTTCTATTTTTAAGCATTTTTGGGAATTAAAAAGTTACAACCCTACGTATAAAATATCAAATATAGAAATGATTTAAGGGTTGAACTCCAACCTTGAAGGTATCCATTGTCTCATCCCTAGAGTTTTGTGAGGGAGGTAAATCACGAAATGTGTCCTAACAGGTCAGGGAACAAGAGCTGTCTGTATACTGCGCTTACAAGGAGTCCAATTTTATATTTCAGGAATCGAACCCCCACACTGCGACTGCCAACAAGGCATGAGATAACCTCACGAATTAAGTAAAGATAAAGTGTATTATTTTTTTAAAAAATAATCTTAATAGGAAATTTGTTGTCTGAAATAAAACCTAATAGATGTCTCTATAATTCTTTTTAAAAATAAAAAAGTGTGTGAAATAGTTAAATTTTTTTCTCTAACTATAGCAAAAGGGATGACAACTAAGGTGACGGTAAAGGAGGAGGAGAAGAATGAAGTGTAAAATCTCTGAAGGAGTTGATGGCTTACGAAGATGTCATGAAATTCTATCATAATTCATATCTTGATAGGTAGTTTAGCTCCAAAATCCATCCTTGACGGCAAATAATGTCTTGTAAATACTGCACATCAAGAAGGGCAAATTTGGGAAGATGGATCTTGATGCTTCATCTACGGCTTTCGTGGAGCACCATTACTCTATGTTCGATGTGAATCGGGCCGAGTTGTTGGGCTTATATCAGGAGGATTCGATGCTAACTTTTGAGGGCCGAAAAATCCAAAGGGCCCAAAATATTACCAACAAGCTCACAGGCTTACCATTCTCACTATGTTTTCATAATAGATTTTCTATAGATGATACATGTACTAAAACTCAGTATTTGTTTTCATTTGGAAATCCTACCAACATTAGATTCGAGAAAAATTAAGCCCTTGTTTGAACCACATTTGTATTTTTGAATAGTATATTGATGGTAAATGTGTGGTTAATAAATAAGAAAGTATTTTGGATTTACGTGTAATATTATTTTATTAAAGAATATGTGTTTGAAATAATGTCAAGTCACTGTTAAAAAATGTATTTTTTTTTCAAATAATGCGGTTCAAACAGGGCCTAAATGATATTATATAGATTCATCTAGGCACATTTGATTGGGACTAATTTCAGTGTCATTGCGATTAATGTACATAAACACCTCGACTTTTTGAATATGAGGTTAATTGAAGGAAACTACAATTGAAGCACTCCATGTCACTTTTTTCTTTCCTTTTATGTTGTACAATGGAGATTCGAAGGCCTAAACATGCAAAGTAACTATACATCCATGCAAAATTCAATACAACTAACTATGTTGTCAAATATGTTTCTATTTTCCAGAAAGTAGTGAATTATACATTCATGTAATTACCCAATATTAGGTTGCAGAAATATTAGCATACAGCTACACTATTTACATTTACATGCAATTTCTGTTGGGAATCTACTTATACATGCACAGCGGAAATTAAAATTATTTCGATTCCCATCCAATAGATCTCATTGTGTTTGGTTAGGAATTGTGATAAGATTGTACCTTTTCCAAATCTGCAATCTTTTTGCTTTTCTTTTCGTTCCACAACTTTGATTCGCCACCACAGCTGTCCAATTGTCCAGCCTCCAACGGTGATCCACACAGAGAATATGATTGCAGCCTCTAGGGTTTTCTCTTGTGCTAGCAAGAATAATGAAAACCTTAATGGACCTCAAACCCTAGTTATGTATTTATATAAACCCAAATAGGCTCGGCCCGGTCCGGCCCAATAATTAATTAATCCAATTAATTAAACCCGGTCCGTGAATTAATTAATCCAATTAATTAATTCGAAAATATAAATAACAAAT